AAGAATGAGCTGGACAAAACTCTTTTAGTGACCAAGAGTTGTTGTCTTAGTAAAATTCGGAGATAATAATAAAATTGTTATATTAGCTATTTAAGTAAATATCTTTGCAAATTTTGGTCTGAAAGATATAAAATTAGGCTCTACTGAAGTAGAATTTTGTGTAGAACAATTTTGCTTAGTAGCCTAAGAGTGGTTTACTTAGTAAAATATTTAGTTATAAACAAATGTTTTTGGGAAGTTTTGGTACAAGTAATCTATGGGAAGAGTTAGTGATTTGCGTTCGTGACTAGTATTATTTTTGAAACTTCTTAGTAATAATTTTGTAAATCTTCAGAAATTGTTCAGTTTTGGTTATATATAGTTCTAAATTATTCTTTAATTAATTAATATTATGTATCTTTGTTTATCTAGAGCTTATCATGTGTTTTTGTTATTTGTTTTGTTGTCTAAATTTATTTTTCTGTAGCTTGTTTGTTTTGTATAACCAGATCTAAAATTTTTCAAGTTGATACTATTTCTCAAAATAAAATAAAAAAATTTTTTAAAAAATTTTTACCTTTTGATTTTCTAATTTTCTTATTATTGTTCTAAGATTCTTATGAACTTTAAATTCTTTTTTGGTTTTCTTTCTATATATAGTTATATCTTCTTGTTTCAAAGCTTTTTGCTTAATAAACCAAAGAGTATTTCTTAATAAACTTGTAAAGTTTTTTATATTTAGATCTTTAGTTCTATTTTGTATTTAAGTAATCTATGATTTTAATTTAAGTTTACTTAAATATTTTTTAAAAATATTTATAATATTTTTTATTTAATAAAGATAGATATATTAGACATTAATTTCTTGTTATATTGAATTTATTATAAATACTAAATAATTTTTTGAAATTATTTTAATTAATTAATCTACATAACTAATATTTACAAATTGCTTTTGTAAATATTATTAGTATTAGTAATCTTAAAATTAATAAATTACTGACTTTTAGTATTACTAGTACTCAGATTTTTGATGAATTTTAGAAATTATATATGTTGTTGACATATAAAATTTTAAAGAAAAACAGAAAATCTTTAAAAATTTTTGATCTACTAGTTCAATTTGGATAAAACATATACCATTAGAATCAGCTTACTAAGACAGATCTAATGAGCTAAAAATCAAAAAATCTTATAACGAGATTCTGAGATACTTAAGTTCTAGCCTTTTTACAATAATTATATAATCTGATTAGCTGATAATTACTGCAAGAGATGTGTTATATATAATATATTTATTACCTATAGTTTTTGAGACACTTTTATTATTTATACCAGGAACAGAGTAATGAAATCATGAAGTATATAGTTTATGTAGTGAGTTAAGTAGTCCTGTCTACAAAATCTTAATTTGAATTAGTTCGCATGACTTATTTATCAAATTTTGTTTATTTTTCACATGATTGTTTGTCACACAGTTTTTTTTATGTTTATTGTATTTTATGTATTTTTTATGTATCAACAGATATGTATGTATATATGAATGCTAGGTTTTAATTTGAAATATGTAAACCCGCAAGCATGAACAATAGATATTATAGTTATAATAACTAACAGTATTAAGTTTATAGATTTTATATACAAAATTTTGTAGCCTATTATGTATTAATTTTTGTGTTTATCTGTTATTCAGTATTTTTTGTTTTTTTTTGTAGGATTTTTTAATGAATTGATGAAATGATAATTATTGATTATCAGAAACAGAAGCAAAATGGTTTTTTAGTTAATCAGATAGTAACAATTAGAGCATATTAATAGCTTAACTCTATCTAAGTTCTGAACTATATTTGTGAGAATAACCTATTAGTTCTAATAAAAATCACTGTTTTATAATAATAGAAAATGTGGTGTTATAAGTGAATATACTAATAAGCTGCACTTTATATCATTTGATATTATAATTAGATCAATAATTATGATTTTCGAGAAAATTAGTTATGTATATAATTTACGAAACTTGAGAGATATTGCTAGAAGGTTCTAGTAATAATAACACAAATGCAAGCAAAGAAGGTTTGTGAAGAAATAGTGTGAAAGTAAGATCTGATTTTGTGAGTAAATATTTGTTTTCTAAAGCAATCCTATTAGTAAAAGCCTCTTTTAGGTAAAATTATAAAAGTGTATTAGTTTTGCTGTTGTTAAAATAAATAACCTATAGGTTATAGATATATTCGATATAGTACTAAATCATCATTCTTGTATCTCTACTGAGTTAACTTATTACAAGTTCTTTATATTTTATTTAGTTTATGATAAAAGATCTGTTACTCTTAAATGTATATATATTCATAATTACCTTATAATCAACTCGAAAAAATGTCTTCTTATATTGTGCTTCTTGTTACTATCATTTTTGTGAAAAATAATTAATTATATTCATATGGTTAAGCCAAATATAATCTCACAAAAGAAATATTACAGGTGATTAGGTAGAAATACTTTTTTTCTTCTATTGAGTAGCCTAAATTATTTACAGGAGTAATTTGGTTTTTATTTTAGGTAAATTTGTCATCAAAAATTCTAAACAATACATTACTGTTATTTATGCAAGTATTATTAATAATAATCCTATTCGCGAGTTCGATACTATTGATATTCCTTTATGCATTCTTCATTATATGTTTTCTATAGCTGATAGTTGTTAATCATAAACCTAAAGAACTTGGAGAATTTATTTATTTTGGTGTAAAATATATTGAATATAATTCTGTTAATAGTATTTCTAATATAAATATACAAATATAGTTATTTGTCATTCAGGTTCCTCAAGATTTAAAAATTATTTGAGGCATTTGGGTTCAAATATTAAATTAGGTAATACGTATCTCATATCAGGTCTTTTTAAATTTTCATCATCTGACAAGATGATAATTGAAGCAACTGATATTGACTATTTGAGAACCTCAACTATTAACTATAATATACATAAAAATTATTCTTTGACAACTTCCAGTTAGTAATATAGGCTGATAGCAAAACCTTGAGTCGACCTAGCTGCAAAAAAACTCAACCTGGTTAACCAGGCAGGCTATTCTACTAAAAAAAAATTTTTAACCAATAAATTGCAAGATATTTACATAAAATATCAGTCTTTAGTACTTCTTAGACTTATTAAAGAAAATTCGAGTGGCAGTATATAAAATAATTTTCTAGAAATAGAGTTAAATAATCTTTTTATTTCAAAAAATAGCTAAAGAATAGAAGTCAATATTAAAATGTATATTGTTGAAGTCTAAACTAGGTTCTTCGGAATAGAATTAGTCTGGAGGTTATGTTACAAAAAGAGTGGAAAAATATAATCTACAACAAATATTCTATCCAAAAATCCAACAAGGTGAGTATAACTTGGTCTGAGTTTAGGGTCACTTGAGTAGGTTTAATAATATTGTGGTTGAGTCTTTGGGTTTGTTGGTTGATATTAGTCTTCTCTACTTTCAAATATTAATTCTTTTGGTCATGTTATCAGGCAATCATGATTTGAAAAGTTACAATTCAGATTATAAGGGAATTCAAGTTAATCAATGAAACAATCTCAATTTGAATCAAAAAGTTTATCATCACGAAGTTATTATATAAGAGATTAAGATCTACAAACTTGGAACCATTACTCTAATCAACTAAAAACTGGTTTCAATAAATAACAATCACAGATTCAAGACAATTACAAAAATAACAATTCAAACAAGAATAGTTTAGACAGTAGAAATTTATAACGAAAGGAGAAAGTTAAACTTGGATAACTTCTACTAGTTAATATTTTGAAGTATCAGATGCCAAAGTCTTGTCTTTATTGAAGGAAGAAATCACAACTTATATAATTAATTTTTACATATAACAGAATTACAAGAATAATAATAATTCAAACTATTCTAATAGCCACTACAAGAATAATGATAATTCTGATAATTCTAAGTATTCATTACAAAAATAATAATTATTCCTACTATTCTAATTATTTTTTCCTAATTTTAACTTAGTTCTGCTTTGACCACTTTTCAAATAATATTTATTATTAGAAAAATAAGAATTTATAGATTTCAGAATTTGTGTTATGTCAGATCTGAGACGAGTAATTTCCTCCTTCACAATATATATATGTATGTATATACAATTGAACTAGCTGAACATAGAATTTGCGATATTATATTTATGGTATTGTTACTAAAATATCTAGAACATTAATTTATAATTATCGTGACCTTTAAAATTATTTCTGGACATCTAACTAAAAATTAAATGAGTAATTAACTATTCTAGTCAACAAATATTATACTGGAAAAGCATTTAAACTTTATATAAAAAAGAATTATTCAATTAGATAGTTAATCATTCAGATAATTTTTAATCAAGTGCCCAGGAATAATGATAATAGCATTGTAGACTAGAATTAATTAAATATTTGCAAATAGTTCACTTGATTAAGAACACAATAAACAGCAAAAAATTTATTTAATTTTTTTTATCCTTTTGGCACAATCGCTTTATTAATTAAAATTTAATTATATTGCTATCTTTGTTGCAATACTAATTAAAATTTTATTTTAGCTTAGGATAAACATTAAAAATTTTAGAATTTGTTTTTAGAAACAATATATCATGTACTGTGGTCAGATCTAACCGATTTCTTTTTTTTGTTAGAACATTACCTGCATTAGAGAATAACCGTTCAGAGGGTACTGAAGTAGCCGGGAATGCAAGAAATTTTCTTGCCAATATTGCTAAATTTGAATAATCTCTTTGGTTAGTATGCCACCATATAAGAGGATTGTGAGTTTTGTAAAGAGGGTCATCAATGCAATATTTATTTATTTGGGTTGCTTTGTCATATCGTTCTAATTCATTTTCTACTGGAAATCAAGTTGAACACTATCATAAAGCTGATCCATTTCCATTTGTACTAGGGTATTTACAGCATTAGCTATTGCTTCTATCATTTCTAACAACATATCTTGAACTCTTTTTTTTTTCATTACTAGCAAAAGACAAATTTTTGAATCGAGAATTAAGATAAGAGGCAAAATAAGCTTCTATTAGTGGTGATTCTTAGTAAGCTAACATGGAGTTTTCAATTCGTTAACAAATATTTGGAATACTAAATAAACTAAGAGATGTTTTCATTTGACATATATGAGATAGCAAAAGTGAAATTGTAGGAAGTATCATACCAAGAGTTAGATATTATACACCTCTAATTAATTTTGTTGATTGAGTAAAAGGTGACAAAAGTTTTAATAAATCCTCTAATTCATTCCATTCTTCTTCAGAAAGTAATTTTCCACTTAAATTTTGTTCATCTTTTTTTTGTTGATATTCAGAATGATAGTTTAATGACTTTGCAAGCTGCTTTACAGCCTCTCGTAGTTAAAGTAGTCTTTTTAAAACAAAAAACGTAGAGTTCCATCTTGTCTTAATATCACAAATAGGTTCTATGATAGATTGTTCTTTTTTTTTTGCTTGCCTACTTGATTGTGCTAATGATTCAAACAAATTTTCAGGTTCTAAATCAGAATTTTCATTCTCTAATAATGGCAACTCAGAGTCTTCTGAAATATTTGTTGATAGTTGATTGAATTTATTTTGAATATTATGAAGGCTTTGTCTATATCGATCTCTTTTTACTAACTAATTATTTAATTTTTTTGCTTTACTTAGAATATTATCATATGCACTAAGTCCATCTTTAATAGCTAACTGGATTGTATAGGCAGTGCAACGTGTATGAGGTATTTCAAGTAATCGCATTCCTTTAACAACTGATTTGTTATTATCAGTAGTTCCTCTAATTAATTTATCACGTATATTCCAATACTCAAAAATTTTAAATAAAAATTGTTTTTGACGTTCTCCTGAATGTGAATAAGGAAACTCTTCTATTGTTAAAACTGCTTGATACAACTCAAAGTTTTTTGATAGCCAATAGATTGTTATACCAATATAGAGACAATGCATGCTTGTCCACATATCTGTGGTAAAAAAAAATGATTCTGTTGTTTATAATATTAATTCACATAATTAATCCTCAGCAAAAAGTACTGATTCTCTAATTTTGGTTTTAACTAGTACTGAACTAGGAACTTTAAACTAGGGATCCATTTCATAGCATAATTCACGAAATTTCAGTCTTTCTACAATAGTCAAGGCTTGACAATCTTCAACAACCTATGCAATTAAGAGAAATACCAATTTTTGTTGTTTAACTAGCTTATGAGAGTCCAATTTAGCAAACATAGAGGGTATAGTTTGTATTGATTTATCTGATTTTATTATTCCTGAATTTTTTTCAATTTGTTGCTGTGAAAAAAATTAATGAATTGCATTAAGATGTTCACTAAGGTGTGTAGTTGAAGTTTTAAAGCTAAAAACCTTATTACATTTTTTTCATTTCCATCTAAGTTCGTAACTATTTCATATGTAATCTGGTTTTTTAATTTATCCTTTCACATATATTGCCAAATCCAACTACTATTTGATGGTTTTGAATTAACTACATTGTTTGTCAATATTTCAATGTCTGGAGCTTTTAAAAATTGATCAAGAGTAATCTGCACAATATCCTCATTTTGGTGTGAATTATTAGTAAATTCAGATTGTTCTTGAAATTCATATTGGGGTGAAAAATAAGTTGATGTAAGGTGTGGAGATACAGTATCATAAGATACACATGATGAAAGTTCATCTTTACTTTTAGTCATTAATACTTGAGTTGATTGTTCTTTTTTTTTTTTTTTTTAGGTCGGTTCTTAGATATTTCAGTATCATCATTATTCAATGGTTCTGAAAAAATAAAGGTATCATTGTGGTCTTGTTCATTATTTTTTATTTGAGAACAAGTATTATGCCTTTTCATCATGAAGTTAAAAAAAATTTTAAGCAATAATTCTAGGGGGGTTTTTTTTTTATGAAACTCAAAGAAAACTCAGCGCGATATTTCTGGGGTTTTTTTTTTATGAAACTCAAAAAAAGTCTGTGTGATAATTCCAGAGAGGGGTTTTTTTTTTATGTAACTCAAAGAAATCTTAAGTGATAATTTCAGAAATGTTACTATTAGGCAGAATTTTTTTTTTTAATTGAGATGACTTTTTTTTTATTAAATAAATAATTATACTAGACAAAAGGAACTTCAAGGAATAATACGTATATATATTATGTTTATCTTTGGTAGGAATAATTCTTTATTAATATTAAACTATCAGGTTTAAATATGCTGTACTTATTTAAGTGAACTATATTTATCAAAAAGTACATGAATAAAGAAACAATTAAACTAATTTGTAAAGGCTACAAACAGTGCATACATTATTTATATACTTTATGCACAAATTAATAATTTGCTGTGCAAAGCACAGTTTTTTGCACAGTAGAATTTTTAACACTGGTCACAAGACCAAGAGTATATTCCAGTAATTGACT